AGACACTGCGTCCTCTAGGTTTCTTGCCATGCTGCGGACGCAAGCTTCAGACGAAGAAGTGAATGATGTGTGCTCCCGGCGCCTATTTTATACTATAGTCGCACCGGTAGTGACGTCATGGCTGTCGCCGGCCAACAAGTTGGTGTTTTTTCAATGTATGCTTCAGACATGGGTCACGGCGAGGCGTTCCCCATAGCGACCCCTAGAGGACGCAGTGTCTCGTTCCCTACTCAGGGAACCATGGTTAGATACCTAACCTGAAACGTTTTCATCAGTTTACATGTTGAAAAATGTAAAGACTGTCATATCTATGGAAACTTTTTCAATTTTGTTTCAGGTTACAGATAAAGAGATCTTCAGACAGTATTTTTTGGATATTTCGCAACGTAAGACAAACTGTGACTGCTTTTGATTGCTATGCCAGTGGTGTTAATGAGAAACAGGCTGCTATAGTTAGATTTGATTGGCCCACACCTGGGAGCAATTACTTGATGCTCAGTACAGGTGGGATTCACCACCACTTTCTTCTCTTTCTCGGTCATTAATCTTTTGAACTTTACCAAATGGCACAAAACACACTGATGGCAGACTGTCAATATGTATTCACAGGTCTACATACTGTTATATTCTGAGATGGTTGATCAGGTCTAATTAATGCTTTAATTTTTCAATTTAAATGTTGAAATCATTGATATTCTAAGATATGGAAACAGCTGTACTGGAGTGCACTCAAGGAAGGAGGTGAAAATTAAGGGATTAAAGAAAGAAAGAGGGAGGGAGGTGTCCTTCGCTGTGGTGGCGCCAAGGCTTTTTTTTGAAGTGTGCACACAACAGAAGCTTAGAAATTAAACTCACAAGCCAAAGAGAAAGAAAGAGGCAGAACAGACCTTTTCATATGCTACAGCTCCATTAATATGTTCATGTAGAGGTGGAAGGACGCAGTGTTCCTCAACCCATGTGATCTTTTTATGACCTTTTACATATATCTATGTATATAGGAGTGTAACGGTACACATTCGTACCGAACATTTTCAGTATGGGTCTTTCGGTTCGGTAAGCATCTGTACCGAACAAATACAGTAGGCCTATTCTTTTAATCACTGCACGAGTGGAACTTCATTGGAAACTTCCAGTTTTATACATTGTTACTTTTGATATGAAAGAAAGTCTCATCTTTCAAATTATGTCCATTGTTTCAGGAAATACAAACAATACCGTGGTTGCAGCTTGGAGGTGCGTTCCAGGAGCGGTGCGTCTGCAGCAGTGCAGCGATCATTTCCACATGAATTTATTTTTTGCTGTGCTGCACACGCTGAAATAAAGTCTATTGTGTTTCAGAGTCAACACGTGGCTTTTTGGCTAGGTTTAAAACGAGGAATAGTGCACTTTTAGATAAAAAAGGCAATGCACTTGTGGAGGTAGAAAAACAGTTCTTTAAAGGGGTCATATGATGCTGCTAAAAAGAACATTA